TGTTGTTACACCAGCTGGGCCATCCTGCCACCTGTTGGCAGCTCAGTGACAGCTCAACTCGGGGGCAGCCTCACTGGCCCATGTGGGAATGGAACCGGCGGCCCTATTGCTCAGAGCTCGCACTCTTAAGCCAACTCTTAACCAAATGAGTCACTCAGCCGGCCCCATGGTGATCTCATCTTGTTTCATGGCTTTAAAATCCATCCATAACCATCAGAGGCAGAGTTCAATAGACCCCTCCTGCTCAACACCCTTGGCCTCTGCCCAACCTGCCCATCAGGCTAACCCAGCATCTAGCAGGCCAGGAACCTTGAATGTTTTTTTCCCTCCTTTCTCTTTCCTCCAGGTCCCCAATTGTGTGTCCCCCTCTGACCACAACACCTCTTGCCCCAGCTACCCACCCCCTAGATCGCCTTAGGACCACCCAGGCCCCAGCCATGCACTGACCCCTGGACACACAGTTCACATACAGCAGGGTATTCGCCTGGTAACCACTCAGCAGGTCTGCCTCGGCTACAGGGTGACGGGTTGGGCGTGCATGCGCAGAATGATGTGGAGATGTGAGGGCACATCTCAGGATGTGTACATGGGCTGGGTGTGGCGTGTAGTGGTGAGCAGAGCCAAGTAGGCCACCAGGGCTGGCCAATAATCCCCCAGTTAAAACCATTATAACTGTTAAAACTGATAGTCACGTGTTGCAGCAGGGGCGGGCCCAGGGTCCAAGACTTAATCCCCATTGGTCAGAGCAGACTCTGGGGGCGGGGCCGCGCATGCTTAGGCGGCCTCCAGGAGACCAAGTAACCTTGAAGCCAACTGAGGGCCGCCTCAGGTCGGGTGCGGTGCGTGTCGCCCTCAGAGGTTGAGGCAGGTGGGGTTTGGGTAGGGGCGCTGGGAGTGGGGTGCGGGGAGGTAGAGTTGAGCTGGGGATCTGAATGGGCCTTACGGTTAGGTTCAAGATTCCCGGGGACCTCGAACAGTTTCCGGGGACACAGGCCTCTCCACGTGAGCGTTGCCTTGTAGTTCCTAGCCGCCGTTTCTTTCCCTGTGACGGAAGGCCGCGCTGGTTTTCCAAGGAGACGTGACTTCTGTGCTTATCCAATGAAAGATGTTTCTGTCAGATTCCACAGGCCACGCCTCCCATCCCTGGTACGGAGTCAAAGAAGAGAGTTGGCCTGGGAAGTCAGGGTGAACAGGAAGCCGGGGAAACTCTTCGGGATTTGTCTTTATTATTACCGAAAATCCCCAGGAGGCCGCTGGAAAGGCCATCGGAATGATTTAGTCTAGGAGCCCAGAACATGTCACTTGCTAGAAAAGAAGACACACAAGACGGGAGAGAACGGCTGCAGGGAGTTTGAGGGGGCCTGGTCGAGGCCAGAGGGGCCACAAAGTCTGAGGGAGAGACCTGTTGCGACCGAGCGGAGACGCAGAGGGGCACTTGGAGGGCCTCATACCATGGCCTCAGGATTCTCAGAGTTGAAGGCGGGGTCAGATTGGTGGGGGGCTCTGTGCTCCTTGAGGGAAGCCTCTTCAGCCCACATATTCCTCCTCTGCCTACCACCTTGTCAGGACCCTTCCTAAGGAAGTAGTTGCATTCTTTGCATGCACTCCTTTCATGCTTCCTTTAATAGAATTGCAGGATGACAGGGGGAGGGAACCGTGCCCTGGCAAAGTTTTTTACGTGTGCATTTCAGTTTTCATTTTCCTTAGAAAGACTAGTGTCCTACTGAAGAAGGACTGACTGCCTCTTCATAAACCTGAGGCTGAGCACATCAAGCCCCAGTTGTCCTTAGACATGGTCAAGGGTGTAACCATGGAATTTCTTCAACCACGTTTAAGAAACCTCTTAAGAATAAGTTACGTCTGGGGTGGCCGGTTAGCTCATTTGGTTAGAGTGTGGTGCTAATAACGCCAAGGTTGCTGGTTCAGTCCCCATATGGGCCACTGTTAGCTGCGCCCTCCGTAAAATAAATAAATGAATAAAACATGAAAAAAAANTCATCCCACTGAGGGCTTGGGTCATCCAACTTTACTGTCCATCCTTCTATTATCTATTGAAATTCTCTTGCTTTATATTCAGTTTAGTTCAACGGTATTTATTGGGCTTTAACTGTATTCCTGGCATGGGATATACAGATGGAGGAAAACAGACTTTGCCCTCAAAATGTTCTCAGTCTAGCGAGCCGTTAAACTCCAGAAGTTTGGGGGAATCAAGCATAGGACTGGGAATGAATGGGGTGGCTAGAGGCCTAAGAAGTTCAGCTGGTTAGCACATGACCAGGACACATGGAAGGGGACATGGTGTCAGGAAAACTAAGTAGGCTTCAGGGTGACCTCAGGATGGCAGAGGGGGAGTGGGCAGTTCGGGGCCCTCCACTAGCCTGGATGCTGAACGAAACCCTTCTCACTTTACCCTCATGATTCATTCAAATTTTAGGTGCTACCTCAAGGCCAGGGGCCAGGATTAACTATAAAGTGCACTCTTACCCAGTAGCCCACTAAAGCACTTTGCATCTTTTCGGGAAAGGAGCAGAAAAGATAAACTTTCCTCTTGTGTTTCTGAGCTTGTCTAAGGAAAGAGAATCTCAGGAGGTCAGCTTTTTGTTGCTTAGTGACAAAGGGAGGTTGTGACTGCATAGTGCTGCTGATTGTTGAGGCAGTGCCTACCCTGCTACCCCTTTGTGCTCACTGCTCTGTTTTTACTTCTTTATGAGTTTTTATGAGAGAAATCTGCCCCTCGTCATTAACAGCCTGAGAGGGACCTTATATACAGAAATGCATAAGGCTCCAGGGGAGTCTGATGAACTCACAGTCAATGAAATATTAAAGAGCATTTAGAGGCAAATCCTGAATTTTTAAAACTGTGCAACCCAAATGCCAGGATTATAAATTTAGAAAGCACTCCATGGAGTCAGAAGAAATGTTAAAGGTGTTGGTGGCTCTTAGGTTAAAATTTCTGCTTCAGAGTAAGGCTCTGTCAACTTCTCAGAAGTTTGTGGTGGCTGGGAACTTAATTGTGGCAGTTGAATGTTACAAGGGTCTGAGTGAAGGAGAGCATAATAGAGGCACAAAAGAAGGAACATGAAAATATTTCACATCGTGGTTTCATTCCAAGCTACCTCTGGGCAAATAATTCTCTCTCTCTCTCTCTCTCATTCATAACACAGGAGTGTGAACAGTTCATCCCCTTTGCTAACCAAAGAAGCTGGCAATCAGCCTCTAAAAATGTGCCAATGAAAAGTTCAACAACAGGAAACACTCAAAGCCTGCTGGTGTCATTGGCACAAGCCCTACTAGCCAGCAAGTCCACCCTAGTATAATTACCCTCGAGATCCCCTCTCATATGTATTCACAGGTACAAGAAGTTTCGTGGCAGCATCTGTATAGGGGAAAAACTGTAAGGAGCCTGAATGTTTACCAACAGGACAATGAGGAAATTGGCCTACAGTCACTTAATGAAATGCTGGAGTTACTATAAATGGGCTATAGCTACTTGAGTCCACAGAGATAAATCTTAAAAATGGTGAGTAAGTAAGTCAAGTTGTAGGAAGATGCACAAAGTATAGCATTTATAAAATGATACAAACATGCAAAACAATGCTCTTATATTGTTTATCAACACAACATATGAATTAAAAGTATAAAGCAGGCATAGAAATGAGAAGCATCAAATTCAGGCTAGAAGTCACCTGGGAATTGTATCAGGGAGGGTAAGAGTGGAGCTTCAACCCTGTAACGTTTTTATTTTTCAAAGCTTTTTCAGGTATAATTCACATAATAAACTGCACATATTAAAAGTGTACAATCTGATGCATTTTGAGCTATGTGTACATCTATGAAACAACCACAATCAAGATGGTAAACATACCTATCATCCCCAAGCTTCTTTCTGCCTATTGCTAATCTTTCTCTGTGGCACTCAGGCCTCAGGCCTCAGGCAACTGCTGGTTGGCTTTCCGTCACTATAGTTTAATTTGCATTGTCTAGAATTTCATATACAGTAATGCCTTCGTTTGTAAGCATAATTCGTTCCAGAAACAAACTACTCGTATTGCAAGACATCGCTCCTTTACCAAGTTAAAATGTATTAGAAATGTTTGCTCATCTTGCAGAACACGTGCAAACCAAGTTACTCGCAATCCAAGGTTTTACTGTATATGGAATCATTCGGCCTGTCTTCTTTTGTGTTTGGGTGCTTTCACTCAGCATAATTATTTTGAGATTTATCTATGTCACTGTGCCCATCAATCATTCATTCCTTTTTATTGTTTAGTAGTTTTCCATTGTATGGATATTCCAAATTTCTCTGCTTGTCTTTTTGAAAAAAAATTTTTTTTTAAATACACTTTACTTTTTAGAGCAGTTTTAGGTTCTCAGCAAAATCAAAGATACAGAGATTTCTCAGATACCTCCTGCCTCCACACATACATAACCTCCCTTATTATCAACACCCCCCACCAGAATTATACATTTGTTATAATTGCTGAACCTGAATTGACATGTCATTATCACCCAAAGTCCATAGTTTACATCTGAGTTCACGCTTGGTGTTGTACATTCTATAAGTTTGGACAAATATACAATGACATATGTGCACCATTATAGTAT